GGCTATCGCCAAGATGGAAGGATTCACAGGGAATCCCTTCTGCTGTGCTCATCCCGACAGCCTTCCTGTTAGGGGACACAGTGGGCACCCTTAGGTCCCCGGAGGAGCCCATCCCTGTAGAATGCCATCTCCCCCGACTGTGACTAGCTCCTTTCGCTGCTCTGTGCCCCGCCCATGGCCTGTCTCACTCAGAGAGCCCCACTGTGTTTGTATCTGTCCCACCTGGGTCCCCCACTAGCTGTTGCAGCCCCAGCGGGGAGAGCTGGCCTACTTCCCTGTTTGACTCCCCTCCCCCAACACCCCGCTGTTGCTTCCTGGCTTTTGACTCCCGCTTGGATGGATGACTGTGTGTGACTGTGTGCGTCCCCCCCATCCCCCCTCCAGGCTGGCAGGAATGGCCTGAGTCACCGCCGCCCCCTGGTGTCCAACCTGCCCTTGCATCTCAAGAGTGCTTTTGCACCTGTGTGCAAAGAGACACAGGCTTCTCTCTGTCACCTGATGCCCAGCATCGGATTTCTCTGCCGCTTTGTGAGGGCCGTGGGGGGGCAGGCTCTGTTTGCTCCACAGCCTCTTCCTGCAAAACTCGTGCCAGCTGCTGGGGCAGCAGAGGCTGAGCCCTGCGGGGCCCTGCCTGCCAGCTGCCCCACTGTACGCCCCGCCCCCAAGCCCAGACCTTCCCCGTGACGCCGTCCAGCGTCCAAGCAGCCGCTCAGTCTGCCTCTGCCCCTGACCCCTTTCCCCTCCTCAGGCTGCTCAAGGCAGTGTGAGAACAAAGCCATCTCTGGTTTCAGAGCAAGGCAGGCCTGCGTGTGTGTTCCAGTCTGGCCCCTCCTGGGCCTGTGACCTTGGGCAGATGGCTTGTCCCTCCTGAGCCTGCCTCCCCAATCTCCTAGGACCCAGGAGCTGGCTAAATGAAACCTCTTGGGAAGTGCTAGCATTGTGCGGTGCATGGAGTTCGGGTCCCAGACCTGGAAGCGGGGTCCTCATCGTCATCATTTTCTCCGGGCGTGCCTCCTGCTGAGCGAGACCCCGCACTGTGCGGTTGGTGCCGCGGCTTCGCAGCGTCCTCACGTCCTCGTCTCCCGAGACCCTGCAGGCGGCCCGTTGAGGGGGTGGCGGGGAATCACTCAGGCCGTCAGCACAGCTGCATCAGGACGAACAGGGACTGGAATGCGGGCCCTCCTGCCCCTGCACAGCCCACCCCCAACTCGCGTGACGCCCTCTCCCCTCACACACTGCCGTCTCCTGGAGCCCTGGGCTCCAGCCCCCACTTACGTCAGACCGTCAGAGCCTTGGACTCGGGGGTCGAGCAAACACATTCGAACCCTGACCTGAGACACGCAGGGTGTCCACCTTGCACACCCGTGTGTCTGCCTGGCCTCGCCAAGCATTTCGTCCCTGGACAGGTGCCCTTGTGGGCCCGCCCTGGGCCCCTGCCTTCCAGCGAGGGAGGAAACACGTCTGTGGTTGCAGGCATTTACACTCCAGTGTGCGCCAAGCCCTGTTCTGAGGGACAGACTCCATTAGCCTGAGCTCCACTCATCTCCATTTTAGGGAGAAGGCGATGGAGGCCCGGAGGTTAAATCACTTTGCCCAGGGTCCCAGAGTTTACTTGGGAGCCTGACCTCGACCCCAGACACTCTAGCTCGACAGCCTGTGTTCTTAACCACTTTTCGAGATCCCATGTCCAGCTGTGGCACTTGGGAGGCCGTATCCAAGGTGGCAGGGCAGGCGGGAGGCAGCAGGGGTCGGGCCCCAGTCGCGTCAGGCCGAGCGGTGCCGTAGCTGGTCTGCGGGCCCGTCGCCTCAGGGCCTTTGCGCTGCTGGTCGTTCCCTTGCATTGCAGTCGCCAACATCAGACCTTCCCCGCTCGACACCTCTCACCACGTCACAGGCGAACTGTGTGAGGGCCTGTCCTGGAGCCCCGCGCCGAGCTGCTCCCCGCTGTGCCAGCTGACACAGCGCTTGGATGGCGCCTGGCACCACGTGAGTGCTGTGTACATGCTGCATGTTGGTCTCGAACCACCTGCAGTGCTGTTTTCTTGCTGTTTTTTCTTAAATTGCTCCTTTTTAAAAAGTTTGAATTCATTTCTTCTCATTCCCAAAGGGTAATGTATGCAGTGTTGATTTCTCACTGGTAGCTCTTTTGTCTTAACATATAAACGAAATATGCATTCATCATAGTTACTGTAAGGTCATTCCCGAGCCACCCGACACACTCGTGTGTCCCCACTGGTGACGTGGCAGGCTCCGGACAAGCTCCTGGTGCTGCTGGGGACGGCGAGCCGGGCAGGGGGTGCACCCAGGATGCCGAGCTGCCTCAGCGGACTGACTGAGCCCCCGCTTTTGTTCTTTACTGTCTTTGCCGAGTGCTGCCCCCATCCCCAAACTGTGTCTCAGGCAGTGGAGGAAAGTGACAAGATGCAGTTATCATTCTTGTCATCAGGGGGCACCAAGCCACTTTTCTGAATGTGTCTACCCCTCCCCTCAGTTTTTCCTTCTGTAAATGGGTGGGCAGGTTTGATCTCCTGAGAGTTCTGGCCATAACCTCTGTGAGGCTGTGCCTTTGTCTAAACCTGGTAGGTACCTGGCTGAAGGGATGGTCAGATGGCAGCTGTGGGTTAGAGACCCTGGGCCTTTAGCTCACCAAGAGGCTCCTTGAGGACTTCAGTCTGGCTGGTCAGGGAGGGCTTCCTGGTGGAAGAGACATCAGAACTGAACACCTCAAGAACCAACCGCAGTTTGAGGGGTTGCTTAGGTGTCACTTGCGCCTCGTAGACTGTCTGGGACGCTGAGGACTGCAGTGACAATCCCACACATGCCCAGTCCCGACTCCATCCCTGTCCGGCCTGACCAGGCCAGCGCAGCCTGGGCTTCCTGGAAGCAGGCGTATCAAGGGGGGAGGTTTTTGCTCTTTGGCCATCTGATGCTAAAGCCTGGGGACCCTTCTTGGAGTGATGATTTTCTTTTAAATTTTATTGGTTAATTTTATAGAGAGGAAAGAGGGGGAGAGAAACATTGAGTTGTTGCTCCATTTAGTTATGCACTCATTGGTTGGTTCTTGTGTGTGCCCTGACTGGGGATTGACCCCACAATCTTGGCGTATGGGGACGATGCTCTACCCAAGAGAGCGACCTGCCCAGAGTTGGAGTGATGATTTTTAAAGGCAAAAAAGAAAATAGGATTGCAAAGGATACCAGTTAAAGTACAGTTGGCTAAATTTTTGAAAATTGTGATGTAATATTTGTGCTCTCCCTTATTGACACATGAAATAACAGGAGAGAGCGGCAGCTGTAACGACCGCGGTTTTCTCAGGAGCGGCAAGTGTTCTGAGGCTGCGGTAATGCTACATGAGAACGTCTGTCGTGTGTGTTGATAACAAAGTCACAGGGTCTGCTAAGCACTATTTCCTTTTTCTTTCTGCCTGTGTTAATAAGAAGGAAATGATAGAGTTCAGTTAATGAAAATAAGGAGGCAGCTTCCCTGCTGAGGTTCATAGACCCCCTTAGGGCCACGGATGCTGCTTGGCCGGCTCCCTGAGGCAGCTGCTGCCTTCCAGGCAGGGCCAGCTCCTGTTCCCGCGGAGCTGGGGCCCCGAGTGCACGGCCCAGAGCTCCGCGCTGGGGTGCAGGGCGCCCAGGAGGCTGCTCATCGCCCGCAGCTCCACCCACGGAGCAAGTGGGGTGCATAGGACCAGGCCTGACCTCCAGGGAGGTGGGGTCTCTGTTGACAGCTAACCTCCAGCACAGTGGTTCCAGCCTCCCCACCCCTACCCGGCACAGTGGGGAGAGAGTTCTGGAACAAATGTTGTACTCTGCCCTGCACCAGCTGCCTGGCCCTAGGGAGGCACTTTTTCTTTCCTGGGTCTTGGCCTCCTGCCCTAGGAAACAGGGTAGTGACTGATGAAGTCCCGGGGTGCAGGGCCCTGGCAAGAGCATTGGCGGACGGGGAACCCACTAGGAAAGGCTCGCCTGGACTCTGCAGGGGCTCCTGCCCCTCCCCCGCCCACTCCATTCTGCTGGCCCCAGGGCTTTCTGCACCAGGCCTCACCCTGTCCCTCCCCTGCTCAGAGCCTTTCCTTCTGTCCTCCTCATCACCCCGGGGCAAAATCCAAGATCTAATAGCCAAAAGCCAACATAGTGCAAATTTCTCACCAGCCAGTGAATGGTGCATCAGACAGTTACTTCATAGCACTGTAATGGGTCCCAAATTCAAAATCCTTGTGCCCTGTTAAAGAAGCCTCAGAGCCCACATACTGCTTATCTCCACTTTTATCAAATGTCCAGAAAAAGCAAACCTGTGTAGACAGAAAGGCCGGTCTTCCTTACCCGAGGCGGGGGCCCTGGGCTGTGCGGCTGCGGGGTTGGGGCAGCGCCCTTCACGCGGCCCTGGGCGCCTGTGGGGGCGGCTTTGTTGCTGAGGGTGTCTCAGGAGTGGGGGAGTCTCAGAGGCCACGTGGCCTCATGGTACGCAGCTGAGTTTGAAGCCTGGCTCTGTCACGTCCCAGCTGTGTGCCATTGGGTGACCAACTCTGTGACCTTGGGCAAGGTGCTTTACCTCTTTGAGCTCAGGTTCTTCATAGAGCCGGAGTACAGATTCATTCTCTCACTTGAAAAAAAAGGCGAACAGCTGGACAGTGTTGGGGACAGTGGTGACCTGGATAGCCCCAGCCCTCCCTTTGGGTTTCCTAGTCTAGTGGGGGAAGACAGCTGAGAAGTAGAAAATTGTGTGATATTAGTTGAGTATTGTTTGTGTGAAATTGCTCACAGAGCCACGGGGAGGTGTGGAGGGCTGGGGCGACTTAGTCTGGAGACACCCAGGGGCAGCAGCGGCAGTAAGGGCCCTTGGCTGCAGGGCAGAGCTCAGTGGGTTGTGGGAAGAGGCATGTCATAGCGGCCGCGAGGGGAAGGGAGCTGGCCGAGGCCTGGGGTGGGAGAGGCTGGGAATTCGCCCGTGTGCCGCGCCACGGAGTCACAGACCGGCGTCCTCTGTGCCCGCAGCCCAGAACGTGACTGTGGATGAAGTCATCGGCGCCTACAAGCAGGCCTGCCAGAAGCTGAACTGCAGGCAGATCCCCAAGCTCCTCAGGCAGCTTCAGGTAGGCCGGGGGGGCGGGGTGGGTAAAGAGGGGCTGCCCCTGCACCCCCGCCACCCAGCAGCCTCCGGGCCTCTGTCATCTGCCCGAGGAGGAGTGGGCGCACGGGCAAGCACCCCTGCTGCCCGGCCTGCTCACCCAGCCGGGGCCTGGGGACGTTCACCAGGGAAAATCCTCTGTGTAGCTGTAGAAGTAATTAGGCTCCTCGTAAATACTTAAACAGTAGAGAATTGTATAAAGTAAGAATTTTGAGTATCTGTCACTACCCAAAGAAATCCTGTTCCCCAGGGGAAAAGCCATGTATACAATATTTATTCTTAAAAGCCTGAATTACAAAAGCAATATATAGTCTCTGATTTTTTTAAAAATCAAAATACTACACATAAAAGGCAAAATCCACTTCTTGCCCAAGCCCCGTTCCCCAGGAGTCCCTGCTGTTGGCAGCTTGGGGTTTTGTCCTCTGGTCTTTTCCTGGGCGCTTGTACGGGTCACTGTCCAGAGAGAGGTACGGACAGACAGGTGTTCCTGCACCTGCGACACGTTCCCTCCCAGCCGACTCCAGCGGGCGCCTTCGCTGAGTCGGTAACGTGCTGCTGTGGGGCCCTCCAGCATGGTCCCAGGTTCCTTGTTCCTGGAGCTGCTGCTTCCTCAGCACTGCCGTGCGCATCTGGGTTATGGGTTCTGTGGGGGACTCCAGAAGGTCTTACTGTAGGTCCAGGGAAAGATGGCCACTCAGTGCCTGGTTCAGAGCAGGCCTGCTGCTCACCAGCAAGTGACCTCAGTCAAGGCGCCTACAAGCACACACACAAACCTCTTTGTACACAGGTTCATGGCAGCACCTGCCCTATGGGTTCATGTGTGTGGGACCCAGAGAACCGTACCTGGCACCCACGGGGTGGGGCTGGAGCTCAGAGCTGGGATGGGGCTGGGGAGACGTCGGTCTGTCCATTGCCTTTAATCCTCTTTTCTGAGCACCCGCTGTGTGCCGGGCCTGGTGCCCTGCCTGCTGCACAGCCTCTGCAGCGGCTGTTCCCGCTGCCTGACGCGCTCGCCCCAGAGGCCCCAGGGCCCCGCCTCCACTCCACTCAGCTGGGGCCGGGGGCCTGCACCCCTCCAGCCCCACCCCAGCACACGGCCTCGCCTCAGAAACAGCAGAGCCAGATGGAGCCCCCACTGCCCCACCGCCAGGGTCCAGCCTGGGCCCTGCAGGGCTCCCTGCCTTAACCGCCACCCGTTCCGCTTTGCCAGGAGTTCACAGACCTGGGACACCGTATTGACTGCCTGGACCTGAAAGGTGTGTGTCTGGATGGGGCCGCGAGCCCCTAGGTGGTAGGTAGGGCCAGGCTTCCCTGGAGGTGGCTCAGAGGGCAGCACGTGGGGCTGGGCCTGCTTGGCGTCGGTGGGTCCTGTCCAAAGAACTTGGGTGGAGCTGGGCCTAAGAGGGGTTGGGGGAGCGGGGGCCATTCCCCCCCGCCCGCCCCCCGTTTGCACCCAGCCACCACCACACACACGAGCGAGCTCACACACGAGCGAGCTCACGCACGCTCCGTGCTCCATCCCCTCCCAGGTGAAAAGCTCGACTACAAGGCCTGCGAGGCCCTGGAAGAGGTCTTCAAGAGGCTGCAATTCAAGGTCGTGGACCTGGAGCAGACGAACCTGGATGAAGATGTGAGCGGCCTCTGCCCTTACCTGCTTCCTGAGCTCTCCAGCTCCTTAGAGAACGGGGGCGGGGCGGGGGGCGGGACTGCAGGAGGAGGGAGCCCCTCTGAACAAAGGCTGGGCAGGGCCTCTTGAGGGACAAAACAGGGAGACATCTCGTGTGACCAGAGTGGATGGGAAGAATGTTGAAGCTCTGGGGCAAGGCCCAGAGGAGGGGGTCTCACAGACCCACCCCAAAAGCAGGGGCTTCGTAAACAAGGGAGAGACTTGGGGAGCCGAGGCTGAAGGGAAGTTTGTGGCCACCTGGAGCCTTGCCAGGAGTGTCCTGTCCGCCATCCTGTCCCCTGTCACAGCGCCTGCAGGGGATGGTGCGAAACTTCTAAAAGCGGCCTCCCCCACCTGGTCCTCGGTATGCTCACCTCCACAGCCTTGGAGGTCACTGGGAGCTCAGGAGCTTGGGCCCTAGGCCTAGAGGACGCAGGAGGGCTCGGGGAGGGATCCTGCAGAACTGAGGCTCCGTTCAGGGAGGCCAGGGGCCTGTCCTGGTCACACAGCGCATCAGTCCCTGGGGGCGTGCGAGACCGCAGACTGGCTCTTCCAGGAAGCTCGAAGGGCTGGATCCTGTGACCCAGCGCTGCCTCGTGGCCTCACCCTGAGGCTGAGCCCCTTTGTCCCTTTGTCCCCGCCGCAGGGCGCCTCAGCCCTCTTTGACATGATTGAGTACTATGAGTCGGCCACCCACCTCAACATCTCCTTCAACAAGCACATCGGCACCCGGGGCTGGCAGGCCGCTGCCCACATGATGCGCAAGGTGAGCCCCCCTCCCCTCCTGTCCCCCGCAGCCTCTCTGAGGTGGGGGGAGCTCAGGCACAAAGGGGTCCAGGTGCTTTCTCGGGGCACGCTGCCCTTTAAGGGTGCCAGGCCCAGCCTGGCTCCTCCTCTCCTCTCTTCTCCACTTACATATAATGTATTCCTTGGAGGCTTCTGTTGTTGCCACCACTATGCCACTCACAAAGAAGTCAGAGGACTCAGCTGTCCCCAGCCCCACCTCACTCACCCCCAGGCCACCAGGCCAGGCCTTCCACCCACCCCTAGTCAGTTTTCCCAGCTGTAAAGCCAGGTGACCCTGCTGCTTGCCGGGACTTGGGGTATGAGGTCCGCCTGACCCAGCCCCGCTCCCGCCGCACCAGACCAGCTGCCTGCAGTACCTGGACGCCCGCAACACGCCCCTGCTGGACCACTCAGCGCCCTTCGTGGCCCGCGCCCTGCGGATCCGCAGCAGCCTGGCGGTGCTGCACCTGGAGAACGCCAGCCTGTCAGGGCGGCCCCTCATGCTGCTCGGTGAGCCCCAGGCCCAGGGAGGCTGGGTGGGGAAGCACAGCTCCTGGGGGGGCTCGGGCTGTTGGCTGGGTCCTTCGGGCCTGGCCAGTCACGCGCCCTCCTCTCCCCCAGCCACGGCCCTGAAGATGAACATGAACCTTCGGGAGCTGTACCTGGCCGACAACAAGCTCAATGGCCTGCAGGACTCGGCCCAGCTGGGCAACCTGCTCAAGTTCAACTGCTCCCTGCAGATCCTAGACCTCCGTAACAACCATGTGCTGGACTCAGGTGTGCGTGAGGTCCGCCCACCCCTACTCCAGTCACCTAGCACCCGCCTTGCCCAGCTGGGTGCTCCGTGCTGCTAGGGACACAGCGGTCACCAAGACAAGCCCAGCTCTGCTCTCACAGGGCTCCCAGTCTAGGGGGAACACAGACCATCCCCAGGCAGTGCGAACTCAGACTGGGCAGGGCTGGGCTGCAGGACCCCAGGGTGGGTGCCCACCCTGTGTGGGGGTCAGGGAGGCTGTCCTGGGGGAGGGGGCAGCTCAGTGGAGACCTGCAGGATGAGGTGAGGTATTGAACAGATAACTGAAATAATTAGTCTGGGGAAAGGGCCCTGAAGGAGATGGTTGTTGGGATAAAAGGTCCACTGCAGGCTGTTGAAGGGGCAAGGAGGGGACGTCTGGGTGGCGATGTGAAGGCTGAGAAGGGAACCGCCGGGTTCAGAAGCCTGGGGAAGAATCCAGGCGGCAGCACGTGCCAAGGCCTGAGGTGGTGAAGAACTTAGACGTCGGGCCTTTGAGGGGAAAGCCACGGCGAGCCAGGAAGGGGATGGAAAAAGAAGGGGAAGTATCAGCAGGAGGGATTGAGTTTCCTCCTGAGGGAGGGCACTGTGACTGGGCCTCTACTGAGCAGTCCCCTGCCTCCGGTGAAGAAAACGGTGGGGCGGGGAGGGGGGCAGAGTGCGGCATGAGGCCAGTTCCTGCCCCCGGGCGGCCAGGCCCAGGCGCTGCGTGCACAGCTGACCTGCCCCGTGCTGGGCCTGTGGCGCCCAGCTGCGAGGCCTCTGCCCTTGGGAACGACACAGCCCAGATAAACTAATGAGGTGCTGAGGCTGTCAGGCAGTGAGTTCTGCTCTGGAACAAAAGAAAGCAGCGGTGGTGGGCTGAGCTGGCTGCCCCTTGGGAGAGGGTGATATTTGAGCAGAGATCTAGGCAGACGGAGGAATGTTCCGGGTCAGGGAGCAGGGGAGCCGTGTGTGCCCGCCAAGGCTGGGGTGCCGCAGCAGGAGGTGCCAGGCCGCAGCCTGTGGGGCTGGACAGACCGAGGTGGGGGCGGAGCCCCCGGAGCTTGAGTGCTCGAAGGGTGGCTGTGCTTCCCACGGTCATGCCTCCCGGGGAAGCGCCCGGACCACCGACAGGACTGGCCTGTGTGCCTCCCCCAGGTCTGGCCTACATCTGCGAGGGCCTCAAGGAGCAGAGGAAGGGGCTGGTGACCTTGGTGCTGTGGAACAACCAGCTCACACACACGGGCATGGCCTTCCTGGGCATGACGCTGGTGAGTGGGGCCAGGAGAGGGTCCCTGCTGCCGCTGCCCACCCCCGGCTCTCAGCACAGCCACTTCCTGCCACCATGTCCCTCAGCCTTGCTCATCTGCAGGTTCAGGAACATCTCATCTCTCCTCTCAGCCCGCGTGGCCTTCCCTCCAGCGCCCGCACCTCCTTCCCCACAGGGCACTAGCCCTCCTCTCACTGTCTTTGAGTCCAGCACCGTAGCCTAGCACAGAGCTTTGCACAGGGTGGAAGGGTTTTACATAGTAAGTTAACATCTCTGGAAGCCATTAGTAAGTCTTCAATCTTTTTATTACGCAGAATCTAAAGCCCACAGGGTACAAAGGCCCAAACCCAGGTGAAGAATTCCCCACGGCCAGGCCTGTGCCCAGAGTCCACCGGCTGCTGGCCGGAGCAGAGGGCGGGCCCGGGCTGGGGGAGTGGACAGGTCAGCTGGCGCCTGGGGAGACTTCTAGGTCCACAAGGGATTCAGCTTTAAGCAGAAGTGTGCTGGCCCTGAGGCCCACCGTACTGTCGACGGGGGAGCACATGGGTCTGCCTCTCTCCCGACTGGCCTTCAGGGCCTCTTCTCACTCACACGCCGCCCCTGCAGCCACACACGCAGAGCCTGGAGACGCTGAACCTGGGCCACAACCCCATCGGGAACGAGGGTGTGCGCAACCTCAAGAACGGCCTCATTGGCAACCGCAGTGTGCTGCGCCTCGGCCTGGCCTCCACCAAGCTCACCTGCGAGGGTAGGGCGTGGGGCGGGCGCAGGGGGCTGGGCAGGCGGGGGCGGTGGGCGGCCAGCCGGGCTTGGGCTCCTGGCCAGCCCCTGCGGTCCCCCTCCCAGGCGCGGTGGCGGTGGCGGAGTTCATCGCCGAGAGCCCCCGCCTCCTAAGACTGGACCTTCGGGAGAACGAGATCAAGACGGGCGGGCTCATGGCACTGTCGTTGGCCCTCAAGGTGAACCACTCCCTGCTGCGCCTGGACCTGGACCGTGAGCCCAAGAAGGAGGCGGTGAGCGGGCCTGCCCTCTGGGTCCCTGCAGGTGGGGGCAGGCCCGGCCTGGGGTGACCAGCTGCAGGGCCCGCGGCAGGGACGGGCCGCCCGGAGCCCTAGCCAGGCCTGCTCTGCCCACAGGTGAAGAGCTTCATTGAGACGCAGAAGGCGCTGCTCGCCGAGATCCAGAATGGCTGCAAGCGCAACTTTGTGCTGGCTCGCGAGCGGGAGGAGAAGGAGCAGCGGCTGCAGCTGTCGGCCTCCATGCCGGAGATCACGGTCACCGAGCCGCAGCCCGACCAGGGGCCCGGGGACCAGCCTGCCACCGAGGCTCAGGAGAACGGGGCCCCGGCCTCGGGGCGCAGCCTGGACTCAGACTCCGACTCCGACTCCGAGGCGGACGATGGGGAGGGGGAGGATGGGGGGCGGGCTGCGGCCCCCCACCCCGCCCCAGGGCCCCCCACGGACTCCCTGGGCCCTGGGGACCGGAGCCCCCCGGGCAGCCCTTCCTCCCCCGCTGAGCAGCGCATTTCCGTGTCCAGCCCGGGCCGAGGCCACAAGGTGTTCGTGGTGACTCGGGTGGAGAGCCCACCTGAGAGAGCAGAGCCCCTCGTGCCGGCCTCTCCTTCTTGTCCTTCCCCCCCACCTGCCTTATCCCCCCCGCCCACCTCGCCTGCCCTACCGCCCGCGGAGGCCGTCAGCACTCGGGACCCAGGGTCATCTCAGCCTCAGCCAGGGCCGCCGCTGCCCAACGGCCTGAAGCCCGAGTTCGCCCTCGCACTGCCCCCAGAGCCGCCCCCGGGGCCCGAGGCCAAGGCGGCCAGCTGTGGCCTGGAACACGGTGAGAGGAGCTCTGGGGCAGGGTGGCAAGGGCCTTGGGTGCTGTGCGGGACCCCTGCCTGTCCGCGGGCCTCAGTTTTTCCCTCTTTAAAATTGCCCTTGTAGGGGCAGGGACGAGTGGGACTTGGTTCCCGGGAGCTCTCCCCGGGGGTGGGGCACGTAAGGTTTGGCTGGGGTCTGGTGGTCTCGGGTGCCCTGGCCCTGTGCTGCTCTGAGGTCCGGCTTGAGCAGGGCCGGTGGGCACGGCACCCCCCGCCCCCCCACCGGGCCTATCTGACTGGAGGCTGCCTGCCGTCCTCCCCTCACAGAACTGAGCTGCTCCAAGAACGAGAAGGAGCTGGAGGAGCTGCTTTTGGAAGCCAGTCAGGAATCCGGGCAGGAGACACTGTGACACTTTAGGTGAGATGAGGGCCGGGGGACTGGGGAGCCAGCAGCGGAGGCCCTGGCTCTGACAGACCCCCCCTTTTTCTTCCTAAGTTCCTTTTTTTCCGGTCGGTCTTCGATGAACTGAGGCCAGAGCCATGAGAATCTGCTCGCCCTCACCCCCAGCCTTCCTGAGGCCCAGGACGCCAGGGGTGGGGGCCTTTCTGGGGGCCCCGCCCCCCACAGCAACACTACGCGGGTGCAGGAGCTACAGGGGGCGGCCCGCCCACCCTGACTTGAGCACGCGTTCTTCTGTGTCCTCTGTGTCCGGCCCCGAAGACTGGGCTGGAGAGTAGATGGGAGGGGGAGGAGTCTCCAGGGTCATCAGCCCCAACGCCGGCCGACTTTTCTGGAGGGGCTCTTTGGGCCGGCTCACCCTGTGGAGGACGGGAGCCCCTGGTGGCGGTGCGGCGCCCCCACCCCCGTGGCCCTGGGCACAGATGAGGCGGGAGGCGTGGTGTGGGAGGGGCGGTGAGCGGTGGTGGCCGTGCAGCTTGGTAGAGCAGCCCAGACAGGGTGAGGGCTGGGTGAGGGTGGGGGATGGGAGCAGAGAATTAGAGCTTTCTTTTTCTTAAGTGCAATAAATCTAATCAGGGAGCTGGGTGGGGAGCAGCCAGGGTTCTGGAGACCCTGCTGTCCAGGCCACTTGAAGCTGCCCCCTGAGAGGCACTACAGCCCGGGGAGGGGGGGCGGGGGAGGGACCACTCCTGTCGGTGCAACTCTGTTCACACCTTTTCTAATAAACCTGAGCTGGGTTCACCATTTGCCTATTCTCTGCTCATGCCCACCCTGGGGGGTGGGCAGTTCTGGGCACAGGAGGGAGGATGGCGGGGCAGGGTGGCCCCGGCATCTGCTGGGCTGCGTGCCGGTGGTCCCCCAAAGGACCGGCAGGAGGCCGGCCGGCCGGCCTGCACATGGCCACGTGCTCACACGCTGTCGGCTCAGTGCTCGCCTTCCTTGGGGGGTGGGCGGGGAAACTGCCCACAGGGATTCTCCAACTTAAGGTCTGGGTTCTCAGGGTGCTGCTATGGCACTCGAGTTCAGAGGTCGCCCCCTCCCCTGTCGCCTGTGGCCCAGGGAGAACCAAACACCGGCTGCCCCGCATTGGCCCCGGCTGTTCTGGTGGGATTGTGCCCGGGGCACAAGTCCGTGGCACTGGAGCTCCCTGGGCAGCCTGCTCCCTGATGCAAGGACACGCCCGAGGGTGCAGGGACTGCGGGGCATTGCTGGGAAGTCTGAGCCTCGTCCTTCAGAAAATGAGAGACCCACGCAGGAGGAGAGACCTTTGCACTTGCCCCTTCTTCCCCGCGTGGGAAGCTGATGCGGGGCTGGTCGGGGCAGCAGGACTGCAAGACTCACGGTGGCCCCGACCAGGAGCCCCGGTACCACCCGGCTCCTGCTCAAACTCGGGGATCTGTCCCCAGCTGCCTGGGTGTCTCTGGGCCACTGTCAGTTTGTCCTCCATCATTGGCAGCTGTGGATGTGTCCTGATTTGGGTGAGGGGCTCAGGGAGCCATGGACGTCAGCCCCCAGCCCCGAGCACGCGCCCCGCTCACCCTGCGGGCATCCTCTGGACGGTGCCCGCTGTGCCGTGTGTGGCGGGTGTAGGACAAGCCCTTCAAGCTTCTTGGTGAGGCTGGGGAGTGTGAGACTTGCCTGAAGAGGCTGAGGAGCCCCCGCCCTTTGCCAGGTCGGGCTGTCGGCACCGCGCCCTCCTGCCCCCCCATCCCAATTGACCTGTGATCATTTCCAGCTGTTGCTCAGGAATCTACTCCCGTGGGGGCTTTACAGCCCTCAGCAGCACGGGGCGCTCGCCTGTCCCCTTTGTGACTTCTGCCTCCACCTCCAGGCTGGTGACAGGCTGGGCTGGGCTGGGGCACAGGGGACCTCAGCTTAGCTGTACCTTTTGCGGTGCCTTTCAGGCTGGGTCCTGTTTCCAGCCTTGTCCCAGCTCTTGCTTGCACTAACTTTAGCTTAGGGTGAGAAAGTTGGTCTTCCCAATCACGTAGGGTTGAACTGTGCCTCCACCTCCCCCGCACAAAAAGATGCAAAGTCCTAACCCCCAGGACTTGAGAATGGGACCTTTGGAAACTGGTCTACAGAGGTGGTCACGTGAGAAATAGGTTACAGGGCAGGCTCTAATCCTGTGACCAGTGTCCTCATAAAAAGGGAAATGGGGACAGAGGCAGACGCGCACGGCAGGAAGGTGATGTGAAGACACACAGAGAGGCCGTGGGAGATGGGGGACTGGAGCGTTGGCAGCCACAAGCCCGGGGACCCCAGGTTGCCAGCAAAGCGCTCGAAGCTGGAAGAAACGAGGGAGGGCGCCCCTGCAGGCCCTGGGGGACGCGTGGCTCTGCCGATACGTCCGGCTTCTGCTATGAGAGGGCAGTTTCTGTTCTCGGCCACCCAGTTTGTGGGACTGTGTGACGGAAGTCCCAGGAGGCCAGCAGACCAGCTCTTCAGAGACCCTGGTTTTCCGACGTGGGAGTCCCGGCTCTTTCTGCCTTCAGCCACCCCAGCACCACTACATAGCTCGTGAAGACACGAGGAGTTTGCTTGAGGGCTTGGCTAGACGTTGCATCCAGTCTTAAAGATAGCGATGCCCTGATGCAGGTGTTTGTAGTCACACACGTGGGTGTTCAGAATGGCAGGCAGCGCTTCCCCACAGCGTGACTCCTGGACCCGGGCCCCTCCCCGCTGCGGCTCTGCTTCCAGCCAGGGCCTCGGGTTCCTGCATCCAGGGGGCAGGTGGGGGCGGGAGTGGAGAGGGCAACTCTGCTTCCTAACTTGTTGCCATGATGGGCAAGGGACACACATCGCTTCCACTCCCTTGTCGGTGAGAACCGGCCCCATGGCCTCTCCTGGGCGCACGTTCCCACAGAAGCTCCGCACTGCGGAGGGACTGAGTCCTGGTGGACAGCGAGCCGTCTCGGCACGTCTGGCCACCCTGACACCCTGTTCGGTTTCGCTTTTTTAGTCTCCCAAAGCTCTAGCTTTGGCAGGCACACAGGGTCTAAGCTAAACGGGCAAGTTTGGCCACTGCTTGGCACCACGCAACGGTCTGCAGCTCCTTCCGTCTTGGGGTCAGGGGCCTGCTCCCGCCCATAGCCAAGGCTAGCCCTGCCCCCTGCAGCACCCCACTCTTGACGCCAGTGTCTTCCGGCTCAACTCAAGATGGTAAGAAACAAGCCCAAGTCACATTGGCTTAAGAGCGGCAAAAGGGCCCTGGCTGGTGTGGCTCAGTGGACTGAGCGGAGAACTGTAAAGCAAGGGGTCGCCAGTTCAATTCCCAGTCAGGGCACATGCCTTGGTTGCAGGCCAGGTCCCCAGTGTGGGGTGCATGAGAGGCAACCACACATTGACCTTTCTCTCCCTCTCACTAAAAATAAATAAAAATCTTTTTTAAAAAGACAAAAGGGAAGGGACATATAGTGTCTCCCATAGCTTATCTACAGAGACACTGATCTGGCGGTGTCAGGAGGGCCCCTGCGTGTCTCAGGGGGCTTCATGGTGGGCAGGCTCTCCCCTGCTGTCACAAGCCTCTCCCCGCAGGTCCAGGCTACTCCTCGAGCTCAGTCGTGCCAGGGCTGAAAAGCAGCCCCTCAGTCCAGGCATCCCCTGTGAAAGTCGCAGGCCAGCTCCGCCCTGCACCCACTTTGGCACAGCCATTGCCCGGGGGCCCTGGGGTGTTGCCTAGCCTTGAAGCTAAGGAAGGAGGCCAGCACCCCCACCAGGCCGCATGGCGTGACGGTGGTCGCCTTCAAAGAGTTCTAGGCTCCCTCTGGCACTATCCCCTCAGCCCTCAGGGGCCCTGGCTCAGAAGTCACGCCCTGTTGGTCCTCCCTCGCACCCTGGAATGGGCCAGGCACGCCACAGGCCTGAGCGTGTGACGATGTGACCAATGAGGAACGGATGGGAAGCTGCCCCAGGGAGTGACACCCCGTCCTAGGTCTCTGTCCAACTGGTGGGAGGGGAAGGTGGTGCCAGACAGGCTGAGTCCCGCCCTGGGATAGCCCTCCCCTCAACCCGGCTCTGCCTCTGTGACCTGCGGGTGTCCCCAGCTCTGCTCAACGTCCCTGACCTCACCAAGGGGCTCATTAGGTGGCCCCAACGCAGCCTCCCCTAGACAGTCACTTATCCAGGGACGCGGTGCTTCCCACCCAGCTGCTTGAGGTGCCAGCAAGGCCTAGAAAATGCATTATGCTGGGGGCAGGGCCACACTGTAAGTGGAGTAGCGTGCTGCGGTGGCCTCAGACACTGCCCTCGAAAATGCCAGCTCTTGCCCTGCCCACAAAGGTACAGGGTAGGGTAGGTGGGCAGGGACCTGGATCCCCTGAGGCCTGGGCACGCTCCATCACCTGAGCCAACGCAACACAGCTGTCCTTCCTCTCCCTGCCCGGGCCTCGCCCACCACCTCCGCAGCCCCTCCTGCCCTGGGGACGTCAGCCAGGAGGCTGCCCGCGAACACTGCGACTCCCTGGGCAGGAAATGGGCTTGGCAGAACAGGGCGGGCCTGGTCCCCAGTACTCGCTGAGCCAGGGCCTAAACACCAACCACAGGCTTTCACACCTTCATTTATTGCACTTGAACTTGAATTTCTTAGTGGTCCTTGGGCCCCGCTTTCTGATACTCGTGGTATTGTCAACTACTGCCAACAGCTCTCTCATTGACAGATTCACCTGGGTAATGTGGCCAGCACAGGCCTCATTCCCAACACTGGACCCTGGGCCTTGAGCCCAGTTGGGTCCTTAAGAAGTGTCCTCATCTGGGAAGAAGGGGAGCTGTTGTCCCCTGCTAGCTCCAGTGTCTTTCTTCCAAGGCACCCCTAGGTTAGGTTCGCTGAAGTACAGGGCGCTCAAGCCACTGGTCTCGGCTTATTCCGGTGGGTCAAGTCTTGGGAGTGGGCGGCTTCGCTGCGAGGGTGGGGAGCTTCCCTGGCCTGCGCAGGGCTGTGACCCACTGAAGGGCCTGACCGGGCCGCCCCAGGGGCCTGTTCGACTCCATTGGCCGCGCGGGCAGCCCGGGAGACGTGGTTGGTGCGGTAGTGAAGGGCTTCGCTGCTAGAGTGGGGGGCTTCACTGCGTGGGTGGGGGGATTCGCTGCGGGGGTGGGGGGCTTCGCTGGCCTGCACAGGGCTGTGCCCTGCCGAGTGGCCTGATCGGGCTGCCCCAGGGGCCTGGTTGGCCCCGTTAGCCGCGCTAGCAGCCCGGGAGGCGTGGCTGGCTCCGCTGGCAGCGCCGGGAGCATCACCCGCTGGGGATTTGGGCGGCTTGGGCGGCTTGAGCGTGCTGACAGCCCGGATGAGGCCCATACGGCGGCGGATGGAGTGGTCCAGGTTTACCGTACAGCGCAGCAGGGTCTGCGCCTCAGCCACAGTGAAGGGGAAGTCTGAGCTCAGGAAGCTCTGAAAGAGCTCAGGGTCACCGTCCAGGTCGAGCACATTTTGCAACGCCTTGGTCATGGCGTGCAGCTCCTGGCTGTTATCACGGAACACGTCCCAGAGGCGCGCGCGGGCCTCTGGCGCGCCCCCGGCCTGCTGCCGGTCCTCTAGACACTGTAGCACCCAGCTGAGGCGACAGGGCCACTGGTTGGCGAGCACGACCCAGGCCACGGCCTGGCGCGGCGTGGGGCCCCCGAAGTCCCGCTGCTGCTGCTGCAGGAGGCGCACAGTGATGGGCACGGTGTTGACGATGCGCCGCATGGACACCAAGTTGTCGGCCACGTACTCGTAGAGGCAGTCGCGCCCGTCATGCAGGCAGAAGAGCGCCTCCTGGATGCGGCGCGCCGCCTCCGCGTCTATGCGGCTCTGCGTGAGCCTGGCCCCCTCCTGCATCTCTACGGCCAGCAGCTGCGAGCTCTCGTCCCGGCCAGGGTTCAGCGACTGCAGCTGGTGCGTCATCTCGCGGTACAGCAGGTCGTCGCGGCTCTGCACGGCGTCATGCAGGAACTGCAGCTTGGTGCGGCGGCCCATGATGGGCACGGAGAAGGGCAGGGTGACGGTGCGGTTGAGGAAGAGGTAGCCGTTGTCGGCCGTGCCTTTCATGGAGCCAGCGCTCTCGAGGCACGCGGCCATGATGCTGGGGTCCACCACCAGGATGAAGATGAAGGGCGCGTGGCTGTCGGACAACAGTGTGTTGATGGCGTTGAGCACACCCACCACGTTCTCCGAGCGGCACGTGTCCAGCCCGGTGATCTCGAGCACGATGCGCAGCCGGCACCGCTGGTAGATCTCCAGGAAGCACAGGAAGTCAGTGACAAGTTCCACCTCCTTCTTCACCTCGCCCATGAAACCCAGCTGGCTGCCGAACTTCTCTTGCGACACCAGCTGCTCGATCTTTTTGCGCTGGCTCACGAACAGGTGCTTGCCCACCGAGTACACGGCCATGAGCAGGCCCGAGCCTGACAGCGTGGTGGCTGCGCCGCCAAACACTCGCAGTAGGTTGTTGTTGGTGCCACTGTGGCTCAGCGCGTGGGCACCCAGCGACAGGTAGAGCAGGGCCACGCCAAGGCCCAGCGCAAACAGCAGCGCCACCAGCGCCAGGCACACGCGGCGCCGGCAGTGCCACTCGCGCTGGCGGAATCCCTTCGTCGTAACCGCCTTGTTACCCAGCACCGAGTACACGCTGAAGGGCAGTGCGCCGTAGTGGTGGCGGATGCCGTCGCACAACGTGGTCACCAGGCCGGCCCACAGCTTGTCGGTGCCCTCGTACTCCCAGGCGCTGAAGCGGATGAAGAGGAACTTCACGTTCTTGCGCCGCAGGTGCATCTCGGTGATGACTGGCTGCATGAACACCAGGTACCACAGCAGCTGCGGGAAGCCGCAGCGCCGCACAGACCGCGGCCGCCACTGCGCACGCTGCCGCTCCTCAGCCTCACGCTGCGCCGCCTCCTGCTCCATCAGCGCTAAGGGGGCGGAAGGCGCGGGAGTCGGTGGGAGAGAACCACCTGGGCGGGGCTCGGGACGGGGGCGGAGCTCCGACCTGGGTAGGGCTCGTCTGGGGGCGGGGCTAGGGCAGGGGCGGGTCCTAGATGTTAGGATGGGATGGGAAAAGCTGGGACCGGTGCGTGAAGTGCGGAAGGAAAGGCTTGGAGCCAGGCTTGGACCGGGGAAGTCCTGAGGGTGAAGGCTGAGAATCAGGGGTGTATAGAAGTAGAGTCCCCAGAGGAGAAGGAAGAGAGAGGGCACGGGAGTCTCTAAGGGGTGAAAGAATAGATACGAGGTTCTGAGAAAGACAAATGCTAGGCAGCAAGGCTTCCACCTTGATCTAATTTTCCTGGCTTACTCCTCCTCCTCCTACAGCTCTCAGCTGAGCTCTCTCCTCCTCCAGGAAGCCCTCTCTGATTCCCCGGCTCGATTAGGCACTCCGTGGCTCTCCCCACGACCGCCCTCCCAGTCTTCTCACCCACTCTGAGTTGTCACTGGGGACAGGTGTGTCTCCCTCTCTGAACTGTGAGCCCTTGAAAGACAGGGCCCTGGCTGTCTTGGTCACCAAGGAGGTCCTGGGGGAATGTTTGAAGGCTGGATCATGAGGGGCTGGGGGCAGAATCTGTCTGCTCTGAGGTTAGTGAATGAGTGGATGGGAACGTGTCGGAGCCACGTAGCACAGCGTGGGCACTCCGTATGACGTTTTCTTTTTCCTTATAGCCAAGTCTTTTCTCCTTCCAGGCCCCTGTGTGTTGCTCTGGGACAAGAGAGGGCAAATGTGGGCTTGTTTATTAGGTGCTCACCAGGCCTGGGCACATGGAAGTGAATCACTTCCAGCCCTTCTGACCACAGCTGGGGCTGGGGTCTGAGCTCCAGCAGGGTTTGAGCCAGGCCTGAGCTGTTGCAGATCCTGACCAGATTTCAGCTCACACCTTCAGTTAACATTTGTCTGTTAGGGCTCTTGTGGGCACTGGGAGCCAGAGCTGAGGAGAAGAGATGGGTCTTGACGGTGGGGGCGGGGGGGGGGTCGTGGACAGGAGCCTGCAGCCTCAGTGAGGAACCAGGGCTTTCTCCCTAGGATGCTAGGGAGCCATTGGAGGCTTTTGAGCAGGGGAACAACAGGAATATATACACATTTTAGAAAGGTTCCTTGGAGAGGATTTGGCAGGGGAGGGGGTTGAGACCGGAGGCCAGGAGGCAGGAGAGGAAACTGGAGCAGGGATCCGGGGGCACAGGCTGTGGGTTTGGGGAGGCACCTGTTAAAGCTGAGTTATGGGAATCTGGACTGGGGCAGGCTGACCTCAGGGGCAAGTGGGTCTTGAGGAAGCCTGGGGCTGTGCAGGGACCAGAGGTTCCATTTCCTGTACCCTCTCTGCCAACACATGGATCCTCACCGGTGATCTTGTCCAGCATCAGGTGCAGGCGGCAGCCAAAGGGGGCATAGAAGCCCACGGTCACGGGCACGGGCACGTGGCAGAGGGTCTTGGCCAGGCAGCTGCAGTAGACATCATCCTCTGTTAGGATATCTGGGAGCCAGGATTGGGGAAGGGGCAGAGGTGGGGAAACTGAGTCAAAGAGGATGGCTGGGCACCGCCCTCCTCCCACCGCCCTCTGCCCTCCAGAGCACCCGCTCTCAGCCCCTCCCTGCAGCAGCAGCAGCACCTCCCACCCGGAGCTGACTCGGACCAAACCTGGGATGGATGGAGGTTTCTGTGGCCCCAGGCAGGGCCAGGTGCGTCCCTCAGGGACTCCTGGGGTCAGCGGACCCCAAGTTCACCAGACTCCCTCGGCCCCAGCCCAGAGACCTAAGCTAATTTGGCTGCCCTGGTCTTAGGTCACCAGGCTTAGCCACGAGCCCATGGTCCCCCTGGGAAAATCCATTGACCCTTTCTTGTGACTTGAGGCCCTCAGATGCTTAAGACTCTGCTTTCCACGCTCCAAGTGTCTGCTCCGGCCTGCGCTGTCAGCCTGGCTTCGGTGTGGAGCCGTGACCACAGACCCCTCTCAGATTCTTGTCCACCCTGACCCTGACCTCCCTCCCTCGCCATGACCCCATGCCCGCAGTCACTAAGCCTGCCCTGAGCCCAGGCAAACCCGCCTTCTGGTCCCAGCCCTGTCGCCTTCCTCCTCAGGCCCCGGGCAGGGCGATGCCTCTGGGACTGGGGTGGCAGCAACACGGGGGGCACGGGGACCCAGAGCTGTCCAGGGACCGGCCCTCCGTCAATGCTGTGGTCTGGAATGGCCATTTAGGGCGCGGATTTGGGGTTAAGTCCTGGCACTACACGCAAGCAGCGGGAGTTGGGGCGCCATATCGGCAAGGCTCCGTCGCGGGTGCAGGGGGGTCACAGGTCCAGTCTTGCAGAGAGGCCCATGGGCTGCAAGACCCTTCCCTTGCCAAGGGCCAAGGCTGGGCCGGGAGGCTCAGCAGGGAGGGTCAGAGGAGGACATGGGACAAGGTCCGCCGAGGGGTCGGCAGGGCGGATCTCTCCCACTCTTCCTGATGGCTGCCTGACCTCACCTCATCCAACCTCTACTTGTCTGTCTATGAAATGAGCATTGTGGCCCAAAGCCGCCAGTGACAAGGTTGTTCCTGACCTGGAGCCCCAGGCCCTGCTCAGCTGCGGCTCTGTTTTCTAAGCAGAGTTGGCCACCAGCATCCCCACTTCCCTCCGAGGTCAGGCCACCAGCACCTCTGGCCTGGACTCCCACGTGCGGCCTTACCTCCTACAGGCCCCTCTCCTGTTAAATCCCGAGTCAGCTCCTGTGCCGTCCGCCCTCTGGGCCCTCGGTCCTCGGCCTCGCCCCCCGCCCCCCGCACTCCGCCCGCGCTGACCCCCTTGCTGTCGCCCAGAGCCTGCACTTGCGTATCCTGCCGCCACTTACTCAAGAGAACTGCCCTGTCTTTGCTCAAATGTCACCTTAATGAGGCCTCGCCTGAAGACGCTATTTAATTTGAAAACCCTGGTGCCCCTTATCTCCTCCGTCTGCTGTATTGTCCCCCAGTTGTGTGCTCGCGCCCGCCTCCCCCACCACCTGGGCAGCGCGCACTCTGGGAGGGCGGCAGTCGGCTGCCCTGCTCCCCTAGCGCCCACCTCCAGCGCAGAGTCTGGCGCCCATTACAGGTGTTTAATACCTCGTCAGCAAATGAACGTATGAACCAACGAAGGAAGGAAGGGCTGGATCCATCCCAGTCCCATCGCTACATTGCTCTCCCCATCCCCCAAGCCACTCCCCTACCTCTTGCTGCAGCTGCTCACTTGACCAGCTCCCCCACACCAGAGCAGGCCAGCAAGCTCCTCACCCCTGCCCCATGTCCTCTGTGGCCTGTTGGGCCAAGGACAGAGGGCCCGTGAGATACAAAGCAGAGCAGGGGAGTCGGCCCGGCCCCCGGCCAGCCCAGGACGGAGGCACCGTGGGCAGGCCCAGCCTGGAAGCCTTGGATCCCGCGGATGAAGCAGAGTGGCTGGCTGCCCCAAGGCCCAGGGTCAGGGACAAGCGCCCTCCCAGACAGGGGCCAGAGGGAGAAGTGAGGGCAGGCCCCGGGCTGAGGCAGGAAGCGAGGCGGCAGGGACAGAGCCCCCAGGGAGGCTGGGTGAGCACCGGAGCTGTAGGAGGTGAAGGGGCCGCAGAGCGCCGCTGGGGCAGGCGGCGCCCGGGCGTCCGTGGGCCTGCTGGGCTCCTGGACGGTGCCGGCTGCGGAGGGCGGGGCTGGCCCGCTGCTGGTCATGGCGGGTGCGGAGGTGGGTGCAGTGGGCGGCTGGGGGGCGCAGGCTGGTCCCATGGGGGCAGTGGTGGCTGTAGGTGCTCCCTTCTGGGCACTGGGAACAGGGCAGAGACGCTGCCGCAGGGGGCTATGAGGTGGGGGCTGGGGCTGCCGCTGCTGTTGCTGCTGCTGCAGGGTAGGGGGCTGGGGGCCCCTGCGGCAGCCCCTGACCACCCCCTGGTGGCTGTGGCAGGCCAGCTGCGACCGCACCTGGGGGTGCGGCTGACAGGGCCTGTAGGCCGCTGGGTCGTGGCACCACTGGTGGCAGCGTCCTGGAAGGAAGGAAGTGGGGGTGACTGGGCCTGGGTCCCTGGCCCAGGTGGGGTCTTCAGACGGAGGGGGCGCCGATTTTCAGCTGAGGCCCAGGAGAAGTTGGAGAGACAATGGGGAGCGGGTGTGGTCTCTGTGCCCCTGATGGGTCCCGGGCTTTAGCTGGACCAAGGGTGGGAAAGGGGGTGACATCCAGAGTCCCTGCCACCCCAAATTCCTTGGTCCCTGAGGGTCCCCCAGGGGGCTGACAGGAACCCATGGGGAGCTGGCCTGGTTGGTCCAGAGGAGGCCAGAGTGATGGGGGGGTGGCCGCTGAAAAGGGACAGGGCAGGGCCAGGGAAGACAGGGGCCAAGGTGGGGCCTGGCATTCGGGCTCCAGCCAGGCTGGTGGGAGGGGGCCGCCCGGAGCGGGCGGGCCACCCCAGGGAGCTGGTCCCTGCCTCATTCACATTCAGTTGGGGGGTTTGCTTTTCTGCCTCTCCCTCCCACCACGCTGTCCCCTTGGGCGGTCCCCGTGGGCCTGGTGACTTGGGGAGAAAGAATCCCTTCCACATAGGGCAAGGTGCAGGCCAGGTGGGCCTCCTTCGCTGACCTCCCCAGCCCAGGCTCCCAGCTCTGGGTCCCCAGGTCTGCAGACCCCTGACCCCACCTGCCAAAGTCTCCTCAGGGAGCGCGGGCGACTGCTCTCCTGGGGCCCGAGACGCCCCTGCTCCGCGATCCGGTCAGCAGCACCCCCACTCACAGGCCGCTCTCCCTGCCAGGACTCCCCCCGCAAACGGAACCCCTACCTTTTCTGTGCCCCAACTCTGGGTCCAAGAAGTAGCTCTCGGAGGAGGCCCGGTGGGGCAGGGCGCCCTTGGCGAAGTGGACCACGTGGTGCTGGTGCATGGCGGCGGGGGCCTGCTCCCAGCGGGCAGGATGCGCTCAGTGCCCAGCCCCTTCGGGCACCAGCAGCAAGAGCCCACTTCCAGGGCAGCCGCCTGTGACCTAGGACAGGTGAGAGACCCCATCCCAGACGTTGCGTCCCCGGTCACCCAGGGTGGCCAGAGGTGTCTTCAGAGTAAAAGTGAGAGGTCAGGACGGGGCGGGGTGGGGGGGTTGCCGATGGGGGAGGGCTGAGAGAGGCTGGGGCTCCTTTGGCGTGGCATTTCCAAGGGTCGGGGTGGTTGGCTGTGTGGGAGTCCCCGGGAGTTGCCAAGGGGCTGGGACCGTGGGGGGTGCTAAGCAGATGTAGGCTGGGGAAGCAGGAGCTGGCATGTGGCTGAGTAAAACTAGGGGAGGACCAGGCATGGGGGGTGGGGGCTGGTGCCGGTGAAGGAGGTGAACCCAGTGCGCTGAGCGGGGCGGGGGGCGGGGGACAGCGGGGGTTGGGGGGGAGCATTGAATGACTGAATCTCAATCCTGGGTCCATTTGAATGAAGGGATGAAGGGAGGGGAATTCCAGGGGGAGCAAACGACAACGGGGAGCTTCCATGTGGGGAGAGGCTCAGCAAACTTAGGGAGAGATGGGGTGCCCTGGGCTTAAAACGTGAGGCGCCAACAGCAGAAGTGAGGGAGAGATGCTGTCTGGGGGTGGGCGGAGAAAATCGGAGCGGCGAGAGAGTCGGGGCCCCGTGAGGGTTGGGGGCCAGACATGTGGCCCCTGCCCGCTGCCCCCCGCCCCCCAACCTGGGGTCCCCCGTACCTGACAGCAGCTCCCTGCCAGGCCACCGAGCGCTCTGCCAGCCCTGCCACCCAACTGGTGAGAGGCCAGGAGCTGGGAGCTGAGCTGCCTGACCGGTTTGCCCGCCCAGTCCCCCCGCCCCTTCCTCCAGCTTGTCAGCCATGTCCCGGTGCTCTCTGCTCTTGAGGACTGTGGGGACAGTACCTGAGGTCAGGGATGGGGATGGTTGGCCACGGTGCTGCCCGGGTGGCACCCGCCCGGGGGTCTGTGGGGGCCAGCCCCTGCCCTGGGCACTCCCGCTGCTGCGGGAAGGCAGGAAGCTGGGCCAAGGCTTGGGGCCGGGCCAAGCCAAGATGCAATCCTGGATTCAGATGCCAGTTCCTCCAGTGTCCAGCTGTGTGATCTTGGGCGAGTGACTTCACCTCCCTGAGCCTCAGCTTCCTCATTGCTGAGTGGGCTGGAGTCGGTGCCTACCTCTCATGGTTGTCAGGAGGAGTCCCCTGAGCAGAGCACGGTACATAGTAATGACAGCAGCTAATGTGCTGGGGACTGACTGACCCATTTATCAGGCTGCTCTAAATGCTTCTCCTATAACGACGACGACAACACACGCTATGAAGGTTTATCAGGCCCCACATGGCGTACAAGCTTTTCATGCACTAACTCCACTCCTCCCCAGCATGCCCTCGTAGGGGATGCGATGCTCACTTTGCAGGGAAGTCCCTTGCAGGGTCGCATGGCAGGACTTTGAATGCAGGCTCAGTGGCTTGTGCTCTGGCTCTGGCTCCTGCCTGCTGGCAGGTGGGAGGCTCCTTGAAGATATTCCTCAAGGAGAGGGCAGGGCTGGGGCTGGATAAGAGGGCCCCAGTACCGTGGCACCCCTCTGCTCCCCAGGGTCCTGCTCCCTGCGCTGCCCCCCAGACAGCAGCTGCCCGGGAGCCTGGTGATGTCGGGGGTGGGGGAGGCAACCACAGAGCAGTGCCGAGCCGGCCCAGCGGGGCGGCCTTCTACGGGGTGACCCTTCCCTCTGCCTGAGCCTGGCTGGCTGGCCGGCCCTCCCCAGGCCTTCAAGTCGCTCCTCGGGAGAGGGTTTCCTCCCTGTCCACCAGTTCTGCACTCTTCCAACAGGGGGTGGGGCTCCAGGGCGAGCCTCTCAGCTTCTCAGAGGGCAGGGCCAGACGCCCCCTCTGGCCGACCCACGCACAGGGTTTAGCTGAGTAATTGTGATTCCCCGAGCATCTGCCCAGCTTTGCACTAGGCAGGGTGATGGAGGGCAGGGCGGTGGAGGGCAGGGCAGCTGGGCAGGGCCCGGCATGTGCACAGGCCTGGAGGCAGGCCAGGGAATGCGGCGCTCGGCGTGTGGGCCAGCGAGGTGGGGCCCAGCCTTGTGTCCGCAGACTCTACACAGGCAGATTCTACATGGCCCCCTCGCTCTGGGTGGGATCTTAAACAAGGAGACCTTTCCTGGTCCCGTTGGGACCTCACCCCAGCCTCGGCCAGCAGCTCCGAGGCGGAGGTACTTTCCCACACTGGGCAGCGCCTGGGCGATCCAGGTGTGATGCTGCAGATGTCGCGAATGTAAATGAGGTGCCAGGGGAGGGGGAGGGCAGAGGCCGCGGTCTTTTGTATGGCTTTGGTTTGCCAGGCATGTGAAGTGTATAGTATGTGCAGTATGGGAATGAGGCTGTCTGGCCCGCCCCCCACTTCCATCTACTCCCATTCTTGGCCACCTGCCCTCCAGACGCCCCTGGCCTTGCTCCCCAGGGAGAGGTCCACCCTGTGGGCCGCGCGGGGCCAAGGGCAGCCCCATGCTGGTTGGCCCTGGTGGGGTTGCTGGGATTTGGGCCGCCCTCCCCTGAACAGGCGTGCAAGCTCCAACACTCAGGACTGCAGGTGAAGGGGGGCCTGGACGGGGAGGCAAGGAGGCTGTTCTGCCCCTCCCCAGCTCCCGCAGGCCTTAGGACGGTCACTTTACGGATGCCCCCATCCCCCAGCGTTCAGCAAGCGGCCTCCCTCTTCCACTTCGAACTTGTCTCCAGACACAGAATTTTTATTGAGCTTCTGCCCTGAGAGTGAGTGATGTGTCCAATGGGAGTCTCTCCACACCAGGCCCTATGGTGGCTGGGCCCACCCCGCCCCAGATGCCCCCACCTCCCCCTCTGACGATCCATTTGTTGGGCACATGTGATACCCTCAAGTGGCAGGACCTCCTGCCCTGCTGTTATCCCCATAGCCTGGGCTTCCCCAGCAGCCCTGGGGGGGCCTCCGCCACGCTGGGGCCCGGGGCTCCTCAGGACCTCTGGATGGCCACCTGGAACCTGCCTGGAAGAGAAGCACTGGCATTAGCTTCGGGCTGGGATCTGAGGGGAGAGGCGCCTGAAGGGCTGGGCACGAACCGACTGTACGGCCTCGATGTTCAAAGTGGGCGACGCTCCCGCCCACCCGGCCCGCGCCCCAGGGCCCAGCGTGACTAGGGGCACCGAGGCCAAGTGTGCAGGGAAGGGCCTGGCGCAGGCTTCTGTGGCACGCATTGCTCAGGCCCTAACCACGTGGACCTGGGGCCTAGCAGAGGGCAAAACACCCACAGGAGGGAGGATGGCGGGCCGGGCGCAGCTGCACCCGGGCAGGGACGCGCTTCAGCCTGCCTGGCGGAGGGCCCCGGGGGTCGGACTGCCTTTGGAGCCCCCCTCCGGTGACTTCCATGTCCTACTGGATTCTCATGCTGGGAAGAACCTTCCAGCCCACTTGAATGGGGCTTGACGGAGGGCTCTCTCCTCTGGCCTGGCGCACACCAGGGAAGCAGGCTGGGGGCCCCGGGGGCATGGGTGGGCTGTACCCGCTGCGTGGCCTGGCACATGACTTACAGTCTTGGGGGCTCGGACTCCCAACCTAAAAGACGGGGCTCAGTGGCCTGGCCCACCAAGAGTAGGGACAGGGGAGCCCCCACCACACTCAGGGGTGGCAGGGGTCCCTGCCACACTCACTACTCACAGGCTGGCAAGGCTGCCACGGAGGCGGTGACCAGGCTCTTGATGCCCAGGGTGCTGAGGGTGCCGCGTAGGAGGCCGCAGGTGAAGGCCAAGAACTGGGGGCGGGTGGCACAGGTCACTGTGGGAAAAGGAGGCCAACCCCCGGGACGAGGGCCGGGATGGGCTTTGGGCTTCAGTGGTGTCAGCCCCCTGGCCTGGGGAGGGGCCTCCTCGGTGGTGGGCGCTGGGGAGGCAGGGGAGGCGGGCGTGGGTGTGTCCCAGCACCCCTACCTTGGGGGCCTCCTCCACGTACTGCAGGCCCGAGGCCATGCGGACCAGCAGAGGGAAGCTGTTGTCCTGTAGGACGTAGGTTCCCTGGGGACAGAGGAGAGGCTGTGGGTCTCAGGGCAGGGCCTGCGCATTGCAGTGGGGGTAGGGGAAGCCGCGACGTCCCAAAGGAGCCTTCCCTCAAAACCACTGCTGCCAGGGCCCCGTCCTTCAGAGCTACAGGAGGGCCCACGGGCCTGCTGGGCCAGGAGTCACCGGGGCTGTGCTGGTCCTGCGCTGCCCCTCCCTCTGGCCGGGTGACTCCTGGGGCAAAAGGCAGACTGGTCCGGGCTTCCCGGGTTGTGGTGAGAAGCTGCAGACCCGGCCTGAGAAGCAGTGGGCCAACAGGGCCCACACAGCGAGGATGCCTAATGGGACCAGGTAGGGGCTGGCAGTGTCTCTGGGTTGAGGGGTTGCCAGCGACAAGGCCTTCTGCCAGATCTGGGGCCCCATCCTGGGAGGCTCATGGAAACTCTGGAAATAGCTTCAACGCTCCCCAGGAGGGCGGTGGCTGCCAGGGTCAGGGCCCCTTCAGGAGCCCCGCCTGCGGCCGGAAGCTGGGCGGGGCGCACACCTGGTGATTGGTGCGGAGGCTGTCCATCTGCTTTTGGAACACGGCCACCCACAGGTCTTTGCACAGGAACTTCAGGACATCCAGCTCCTCCCTGAGGGCCAGCGTCTCCCGGGGCAGCCTGGGGGGCAGCGGCAGACCCTTGGGTCGGGCCAGGCCAAGAGTGGGGCGGGGAAGCCAGTCTGGGTTCCTACGTGGAGCAAGGCAGCCCCCCCCCTCGGGTCCAGCCGGGGTGGGAAGGCGCGGGGAGGGGCGGCTCTCACCTCTCGCCCAGGGCTTGGCCCACGCGGAAGCCCATGCCCTCCAGCACCAGCAGGTTCATCTTCTTTTCCTAGAAGGCCACACAAGAGGCTCAGGGCGCTCTGCCACCTCCAGTAGGGAGCCACCCAGGGTGGCAGCTGCACGGGGACCTTTCCAGTTCAGCATCGTCTGGCCAGGACAGGCTCAGGCCTGCGGAGCGTCAGGCTGGCGTCGCCCCTCCGCAAACCCCATCCGCCCTCAGGGCCAGCTGTCCTGTGCTCCAGGAAAAAAGCGGGGACTCCCCACATTCAGCCTCACCCCTGTGAGTCAGCTCTTTCCTGACAGCACCCTCCACTCCTTGTAAGCGCAGCCCTGAGAGGCAGCGCTCCTGATCAGCCGGGAGCTCAAGGTGACGTGTCCAAGGGCTCCTGCCGCAGCGCTGGCGTGGGCCTGGCCTGGCCTGGCCAGCAGGGGGCTGCAAGAGTCAACGATGACCATCCTGTCCTAAAACGTCAGCCACGAAGCCCGGGAAGGACACGCAGGGGCTCTGGGGGATGGGGGAGGCGTCCACGTGAGAAACGTGCCAACCTGTAGAGAATTTTTGAGTTTGGGCCAAACTGAGAACAATTGCTAGGAAGCAAAATCTCAACAGGTTGAGAAACTGCTCTGGAGAATGGCGGTTTTGCAGCTTATCTTACACGTTAGAATCAAAGGAGGCGGCGAAGGAGGATTACGTGAAATCCATGGGTGGTAGGTTTAGGGGGTGGGAGAAAGCAGGGGCGGGGGGTGCAGGGGGAGGGAGAAGTGAAATCTCTGAGACTGGATAAAAAGTCACACGGTGACACACACTTCTTTTACACTGGTGGGTACAGGTTGTTAATAATCAACGCTAACAGCACACAGAGATGCTATTTTAGGGACAAGATGACAATGAGGGGCTCTGAGGTCCCTGCCCTGGTGTGGTGGGCATGCCCTGAGGGGCCTCGTAATGTGGAAATACCAGATTACCCTTAAGATGAAGAATGACCTTTGTCAAGGACTCTACAGGCCTAGAGGACGCGAGGACTCGCCGTGACCGGCTTTCAGCTAGGAAGATTTATCACCATCCCATGTGGTTACTTTAGGTCTCTGAGTTTCTAAGGCCGACACGCAGGCCTCCGCTGAGCTGCTCAGGTTCGGTACGTGGCCCCTTTCTCATCCACAGAGGGAGGTCCAGGTTGGGACATCAGAAATACCAGGTCGGCCTACGGCAGGAGGCTGCAGCTGGGAGAAAATCTGGTGGGGCCCGGGTGGAGAGCAGAACCCTGGCAGGGAGGCCGCCGGCCCCTCTCCGGAGGCTGCAGTCCCCAGGCCTGTGCCTCTCCTACCCTGCCTTCCCTTGGCAATGACTGCTATGGCCTGCTCTCTGGCCACGCTATCATGGACCCCCCAGCGTGCTAAAGGGGCCAAGTCTGCTTAGATCCAGCCTGAGATGCCGCCAGGGCCTCCTCAGCGGGCCTCACGCAGCCTCCTGAGATCCAGCCGTCCCTCCGCCCCGCTCCGCCCAACTCCCGCGAGCCTCCCTTCTCGCCCATCGTGGGGTTGGTCTGCAACCCCGGCGCTGCCACTCCTCTGTACTGTCTTGAGTGGGGACACGGCTCTGCAAGGAGGGGGACCCAGGCCGACCCTCGGCAGCCAACACAGGCCTTGGTGCCTGGGAGGGAGGCACTTAAGAAACACGCTGAACAGAGTGAAGGGCTGGGATTCGCTCACACACTCTGCACAGGTTCTTTATATAGGGTGCAGCACAAATAACGCCCCGTTTCTATTCCAGAAGCATCATCATAAGCATGTAATTCTGTAGCATCATACTGTCATACTCAATCACACCCTATGACATTTCACATGAAATGTTCAATTATAAACCCCAAGTGATTACACCCGTTATTACCCAACCAACCACACTGAAGCAGGCGTTACTTCGGCCGGGCCTGACGAACCCGCCCGCTTAGCTGTAACAGCCCCAAACGGCAGGCCGCGTTTCCCACCCGCACACGGGCTCCGAGGGCTGAGGCGAGCCCCGCCATGGGCGCCCTCCGCCTCAGGCCTTTCGGACCTGGGCAGGTCTGCCTCCCAAGCCTAGGTGGCCAAAAGGGTGGGCGGCCGGACACCACAGCTGTCCTGGCCCCAGGGGGGTGGCAAGGGCCAAGGCCTGCCTGGTGGGGAGGCCTGAGCAGAGGTCACCCGAATTTCCAAGCACAGAGCCCCCCCAACCCCTGCTAAGCCATCCGGCACGCAGGCCTTTGCCCACACTCTCTGCTCCACCCGCGGGAACCGGGCCTGCGTGCCTACACAGCGTGCCGTTGGGTCACAGTAACAGGCTTGCCGGTACCACCTGCGGGGCTTCCCCAGGACCGGTGGGGCGGCCACACGGGGAGGGTGGCGGGAGGGGCGGATGACTAAGTGTCTGGGAGAGGACCTGCGCCTGTGAGGGACACTGAGGGGGACAGGGGCCCGGTGAGGATCCACCCCAAACACCGACCAGCTGTGGGACTGGGCAGTGGCTAACCGCCCTGTGCTTCCGTTTCCCCATATGCAAAAAGAAGGCGGGGTTAACAGGACCCTTCCCAGGGCCCTTAGGAAATTAAAGGAGTTGGTGAACCACACGCTCCAAGGGGGGCTTGGGAAGCGTTCCAGTGTCAGGCACAGGCCCCGCACCGGTCAGCCCGGGGCCGGGACCCTGGCTGGCAGAAAGCCCACGAAGGAGGGGCTCTGTCCTGGGGTGAAGCATCTCAGCAGCCAGAACGCTGCCTGAGGACTTCCAGCGTGACGGGGAGGACCCAGTATCTCTGGTTTTGAGGGTGCGCAAAGGCAAGAAAGCAGGAAGAAGCACGGAGCATGTAGCTTAGGCCACTGTTAACAATGGGGGACAGGGAAGGGAGGGGAGGCGGCCCCTGCAGACCAGCGTGAGGCGGGTGCGTTTTCCCTGTGTGACAAATGCTGCCTGAAGAGTCCTGATGCAGGACACATGGAGGGTGACACAGACAGTCCCTGCCTCGACAGACCTGGCGCCCTAGCGGGGAACACAAAAGAGCTATGACAATCACTGGGACGTGCCCTCTGCTGACGGGCGGATGCTGAGGAAGCCATGCCTGCCCTGCCTCTGAAGGGAGAGTTACGCATGAGCGGGAGCGGGTGGGAAGGTACCTCAGCCCCACACAGGCCAGCAGCCCTGAGAGGGGACGGCCAGAGACTCAGCACGGTCCTCAGCCGGGCTGAAGGGGGTGGGGGAGGGTCCAGAGAGGTTTCCGCAAGTTTGTTTCCCTTCAATGGGCTCCAGACGGGCTGGGTTTGAATCCTGGCTCCGCCACTTGCTGGATGGGCAACCTTGGGTGAAATATCTCATGGCCCTGGGCCTCAGTTTCCCCAGTGAAAGGGGGCTGACAACAGTCCTCACCTCACAGTAGTGTTGTGACGGCTCTATCCCTAGCTGTTGTTTCTGTTGATCCTTGACAGGGACCAATTAAGTGTCTGCTGAACTGAAAAGACTGGGCGTGGCAGGACCTGGAGAATGAGGAGAAAGGAAGGGGGAAGACAGTGGGGAGGGATGGGCCGAGGATGAGCAGGTGAGTGAGGAAGAGAGGGTGGAGGAGGAAGGAAGCAAGAGCCCATTCACCAGCCTTCGTCACAGCCTGTCCCTGACTCCGGGGCGGTCCGCCCTAGGGGTTCATCCTGATTCCCACAGAAGGCGAGGCGGACTCTCCCACTCAGGAGTCCTCTGGAACCCGCCCAGAGCCATGCTGTCTGGGCTCCCACGGCTGCGCAGGCAAGTTTACACAACAGCCCCCTGAGAGGAAACGGGATAATCAGGACCAGAGGGGAACCCCTCAGAGCGGCCTCATCAGCGTGGCACCTCCGCAGCCACCGCACGGCACACAGCATGGGCGCTAGGAGGAAGGGACAATCAGACAAAGGGAAGTTCTTGGAAGTGAGAAAGATGGTGGCCAAAATAAACATCTGTTAATGAGGGAGACAAATCTGTAAGGTAGATAAAGCCTCCCGGATTGTCCAGAAAAAAAACGGAGGCAGAAAAGATGAGAGAAAAGTTGTAAGACACGGGGGAGATTCAGATTCCTCTGAGTGCAGAAAGGACACGTGTGGAGCGAGGTGGGAAAAGAAAGAATGGGGGGGGGATGGAAAATGCTGGGCTGAAGGAGTTCACTGAGCAGGGCCACAGAGCTCCCAGCAGCACGAATGGAAGACAGCAAACCAAACCCTCTGTCCTGTCCCAGCCTGACCACTTGACTGGGAGGACAGCCAGAACATTCCAGAAAGAAGCAGGCGGGAGTCGGGTTGGGGCTATGCGTCTGGCTGCTTCCTGTCTCTTCACCCGCTGGGCCCCTGGTTACACGTGTGGGGCCACTCTGTGCCGACCCAGGCAGAGCACCAGGGAAGAGCAGGCCAGGTTCCTGCCTTTTTAAAGAAATTGTCATCTGAGGTCATATATTTATTGATTTTAGAGAGAGGGAAAGTGTGGGGGGGGGGGTTAGAGAAAGAGAGGGGGTCGGGGGAGAGAGAGACATCAAAATGAAAGAGAAACACAGATCGGTTGCCTCCTGCATGTGCCTCGACCAGGGATTGAACCTGTAACTTTTGGTGTATGGGACACTCCAACCAACGGAGCACCCAGCCAGGGCCCAGGTTCCTGTCTTTAAAAAAACCACTGGGAGAGGGAACAGGTTCTCAGTCTCTGCAAGGTGACTGGCCCCTGACAACCCAGAAGTATGGAGTGGACAGGTAAGAATGACCGAGCAGGGAAGAGCCAGCATACCTCCCACCTTCCCGCCATCTCCCCCACACTCGTGGAGCTCGCCCAGTTCCACCTCCTCCTCCACGCCTACCGCTGGCACGCCCAGCCCTTCCCGCCCAGTCTCATCTGCATGGCCATGGAGGGCTTCCGAAAATAATCCGAACCCAGCACACCTCAGGGTAACCTTCTATGGCTCCGGGCTCCCAGGTCAGAAGCCCCGTTCCCCAGCAGGCACACCGAGACCCTGCAGCTGCCCCCCCATCTCAGATGCTCTGTGCTCCCCGCAGGGCTCTCCCAGGAACCCGGGAACCAGCCGGTTTCACAGGGGTGGCCTGGAACTGAGAGCTGCTCCACAGGCCCCGGGCCCTGGAGAGAGAAGGGGCCCGCAGGGGCGCTCGCCACATCTGGGTGGACGAAGGCCCAGGAAGCAGGGCTGTTCCGGGGCCACCTGCCAGCGCTCACAGTAGTAGAGGACAGCTCCCGCCCTGCATACACAGGAATTCGCTCCTGTGCCCACAGGCTCTCTTTATCTTTAAAGCTTCAGAGGTTGAGAAACCACAGCCTCCTCCTCCTAGTTGTTCCTGCTTTGAGAACAAAGGCCCTTTGACCTCCAAGCTCTTCCATTCCACCACTAACCAGTCAGGAGAATCCATTCAACAGCAACAAAGCAGCAGCCAGGATCTGGAGCTCACAAAGGCCCTGAAGAGTAACTGTGGCTCCTGCGTGCCTGTGCTGTGGGGAAACAGGTGAACGAGTCACCATCCCTGTCCTCAAGGAGTTCTGCAGCTGATGAATGGGCAGACCGGAAGCCACAGACAGGTTTTGGAGCTGGAAGCCTGAGCCCTGCTTTTGCCTCTGACCGTGGCTGTGTGGCCTCAGGAAAGGCCCTTCCTCCCCAGACCCCAGCCCACCCTGCAGGACTGTTCTGAGGGCTGAATTTGATAAAATACTGTGCCGGGGACATCGTAAGTACCCAAGAAACAGGAGGCCTGCATTTGGTTCAAATGAACCAAAGAGAAGGAACAGAGAAAGGAGGGTCCAGGAGCGACAGAGGACTGAGAGAAAACAGAGCAGTTTCCCACAACATGCCCCTGGAAGACGGGGTTCCCGGGTCGAAGGAATGTGGGGACACTGCCAGAGTTCTCATCCCTGGCTGAGCCCGAAGCCCCCCAGGAGATCTGCGAAGCCTGCTCCCGAGGCCACACCCCAGTCCTGCTCTGCCCCGCCTTTCCTGCCCGGCCCCAGCACTGGAATGCCCGGGGCAGCGGGGAGAGCGCAACTGGTACTCAGGGGCTCTGAGAGCCTTGTGGGGAGCAAACCTGAGAAACCCCGTGCTTCCCACACTGGCCTGACCACAGAAACCCACTGAGATCCTCCCGGAGCGTGTCAGGGAGGACACACCGTGGGAAACGCAGGCCAGGGTTTATAGCACAGGCTTTGGAAGGTGGGGGCCTGGCTCCATTCCTGACTCTGCCACTTGAGAGCGAGCCCTCTGTCCATTAAAGCCTCTGTTTCTTCATCTGCAAAGGGGGAGGGTCATGCTGAGCCCTGTGCGTTGTTAGGAGGATCACATGAAATCAGGAGTGTGAAACCCATGGGAAACACATGTGGTAGGTGCTGGTTTTTCTTGTCACCTACTAAATGAATCCCGGTCCCCACTCCACCCTCCTCTGTGCCAAGATCAGAAAGATTAATAAGTGTAAACACAGTGAAGCTATGACAGGTGAAATGAGCCGGGAGGCGTGGGAGGAGGCCGGTACAGGGGCGGAGAGGAGGGAGCCTGGACTAAGGCAGGAGAATGGGATAGATGGGCATTCAGACAACATTTAGACACCAGAATGGGCAGGGCCTGGCTGGGGGCTGGAAATGATAGAGTAATGGCATAAGGACTACTGAGTTTCTGCCTTGAGAGCCAGGATGGATGGGCTGCTGAGACGTTGCAACCCCGGAACCCCAACAAGCCCGACAATGCACTTGCTCTTCCATGCTTTATCTTCCGCGTAGCATTTCCCCACTGTACTACACATTTCACACCTTTTGCTTATTTGTCTGTCTCTGCCCACTACAACATAAGTTCCAGGAGGGCAAGGAATTTTATATAGTTCACTGAGTTATCCCCAATACCAATAGCAGGGCCTGACACCTTGTAGGTTTTAGTTAATGTTCGTTGAATGAACTCTGAAGAAACTATGTTGAGGTCATAACATGCTTCATCCTCCTCAAGACTCTTAAATTGGAATGAAAACCTAAGCCAATAACAATGTCTTGCATATACATGATGAGGATCATAGTAATAACAGTGAAAAAAGCGAACATGAGCACAGCCCTCATTTATTAAGCATCAACTCTCTCCCTCACCCTTTCTTCTTGTGTAACAGATTTTGCAACAAGAGCTCCTGTGTTTGCATTAAGAGCTTTAAAGCTTAAGCTCATTTGACCAACTTCCAAAATGCTAAGCATGCTCCTACATCCAGGTTTTGCACCTCTTCCTGGCATGCTCTTCCCCCCATGTATCCCTGGAGCTTGCTTCCTCCCTTCTCTTTCTTTGAAATGCTCTCCTCCATCATCTACCACTTCATACCTTTTCTTTCCCTGATCTTACTTAAATTTTCTTTGTAGAACTTTTCACTAGCTGGTGGAATATATTTTATGTATTGTTTATTTGACAACCCCACTAAAATGGAAGCTTCGCGAGAACAGTGAAACAGTGCCTGGACTACAACAGGCGTTCAATAAGTGTTGAATGGATAAATGTCCCATTCTGACACTTAGGTGCTGTTATAATTACCATTTTATAAAGGAAGAAACTGAGGCACAAAGAGACTGGCTCTCACACCTAGTGAGTTGACGACGGCGGGATTCGACACAGAAGTCCTCAGTACACATCCAATGTTAGTAATTATTGTAATTACTGCCTGCTTATTCTAGAATTTGAGCTCAGAGGTTTACCTCGAGCCATTCGCTCAATCCTAAACGTAACCAGCGAGGTCAGATCCGCTGCACCCGCCGCTTTACAGAGGAGGAAGCCAGTGCCCCAGGTCTTCCAGCGAGGCAGGGGCGGGGCCGGAGTTCGATCTGGGCCGCTGCCGTGCCCTCCACGCTCCCCGGGGCCTCAATTCCGCCTTCCCGCCACCACCGCGTCTCCTTCTCCGCCCCCCGGGGCCCAGCGCTCACCCCGGGGCCAGGATCGGGGTCGCGTTCGTGCGCCCACAACTCCGCCACCATCTCGGTGTGTAGAAACTCGAACAGAACCGCGTCCACCATTTGTCTGCCCCGCGCGCTTAACTGCAGTCCAGCGCTTTGTGTTCTTATTGGCCCGAATGAACTAACTCCGCCTCCTATATCCATGTGGACCCGCCTACTCACACCTTCATTGGCGCTCCAGACTAGCTCCGCCTTCCTTCTTCGGGCTCACGTGGCGCGCGCGTGTTCTTGGGAGATTGCATTCCACCTTTTCGGATCGTCTAGCGTAGCCATTGGCCAAATCACTGGTTACACGTGACGTAGCTTGTTGTTTTAAAATCCCAGCTCGTACGCTCCCCTCGCACAACGACCCGGAAGCGCCAGCTAAAGCACTTTTCTATTGGTCGCACCTCTATAGCGCGACTCTGCACACCCGCCCACAAAGTTGGTCTTGGGGGCTGGCTTCCCCATTGGTAGCCGAGCGGCCCACTTGATTGGCCAACACCCGCCCAAGCTGCTCCCCTATTGGTTGTGACTGCCACCGTACACACCGCACTTCCGCTGGGTAGCTCCTTCCCTTGGCTCGCAGCTTCCTGAACCCGGTAAGGCCTTCGGTGTTAGGGCTACCCTACGCGCACCCTCCCGAGTCCTGCGGAACTGTCAGTCCTTCTGTGACTCTGGTACTGCCCCTTGAGAGGTTCCAGGATGTAGCCTCTGCTATAAGGCAAAATCGGAAAGAGGACAGTTTGGGGTTCTGGGAGCTGCGGCCTCGGAGTCTTGATCAAGCTGGTTCTGTTCCCTATCAGTACACTGAAGAGGCGGGGTCCAATCGCCCCGATCCTCGCCGGCAGGGATGATGGGCCTGCTAAGATAGTGGAGGGTCAGGGAATCCAGAAACTGCCTTTTAACCACCGCCGGGCGCCCGCTTCTTACGCTGTGCTTTTCGCTCTTCAGTCTAGCTCGGCGCCATGGCGTCTCAGGGTCGTCGGCGAAGGCCGCCGCGGAGGCCTGAGACGGTGGTGCGGGGGGAGGCCGCCGAGACAGATTCAGAGCTCTCTGCGTCCTCGTCGGAGGAGGAGCTGTACCTAGGACCCTCGGGCCCAACGCGCGGCCGTCCCACCGGGCTGCGGGTTGCTGGGGAGGCCGCGGAGACCGACTCGGACTCGGAGCCAGAACCGACGGCCGCGCCGAGGGACCTGCCTCCTCTCGTGGTGCAGCGAGAAACAGCCGGAGAAGCCTGGGGTACTGAGGAGGCCCCAGCGCCCGCCCCTGCGCGCTCGCTGCTACAGCTCCGGCTGGCGGAGAGCCAGGCGCGTCTGGACCACGACGTAGCGGCCGCTGTGAGCGGTGTGTACCGCCGGGCGGGCCGTGATGTGGCTGCCCTGGCCGGTAGGCTGGCGGCCGCCCAGGCAGCAGGGTTGGCGGCCGCCCACAGCGTGCGCCTGGCGCGGGGGGACCTCTGCGCGCTGGCCGAGCGCCTGGACATCGTGGCCAGCTGCTGCCTGCTGCCCGACATCCGCGGCGTGCCGGGGACCGAGCCCAAGCAAGATCCAGGATCGCGGGCCTAGCCATGACCCATTCCCCGCCTGACTCTGCGTCCCCCAGGAGCCCTGATGACCCGGCTCAGTACCCTGCATAGCCCCCCACCTTTCCTGTTGTCTCCCTCAGGGCTAACCCCACCCCCTGGATAAAGCTGCCCACGTGTGCATGTGGGTGTGGATGTGTTGGTGGGGGGTGGGGTAGTGGTGCTCAGACCCGTCTCTTGCGTCTGGTTCCTCCTTGTGGTCCTGGCCCTTCTCCCTGGTTCCTTGCAGCCTGTGTCTGAGCCCTGGGTAACTGGCTCCTCCTTGATCTGCCTCTATCCTGGGTGCTCACTGTGCCCACCTTTCCTTGCGCTCTGCCTAAGTTTGGTTTCTGCTTGCAAGGGTTGATGCTGCTGCTTCCCACAGGCGCCCCAGCATCTATTTATTGGGGCTGCCACCCTCCCCCCTCTGTACAGACACCGCTCTTCCTCTGAGTAGTGCATTACGCAGGCTCCGGGCTTACAGGCCAGATTTCCTAGCACCTTCCTTCACCCGCTTGGCTCTGCCTCCATTCCTAGCTACACTTTGGAATTTTGTCTGCGTGGGCTGGACCCTTTCTCTGCTCCTCAGGGTTGTCCCTGGTTCCATCTCCTAGTTTTAGTCCTTGCTCTGCCATCTCCTGGCTCCTCCTCGGGTTTGGCTGATCCTGGTTGGCCTGATCTCATCTCCTGGGTCCAGTTTTAACCATAGGGTTGGTTTTACTTTTTTGCTTTTCCCATCCTGCTTATACTACCTGTTTGTTCTTGAGCTTCTGAAACCCCACCATAGCCCCCTCCTGACCCAAGGGGTCCTTCACCCCACTCTCCAGGCTCAGGATGGCATCTCCTCCAGACCCAAGTAGGTGGGCCCTCCACCCTCTCTAGGCCAAGGTAGCACTTTGTGCCTGACCTCCAGATACGAAATGGGCCTCCTTCTCACTCCAGGTAGATAATGGCATCTTTCACTTAGGGCTCAGCAAAGACTGCCCTGGTACTTTGGATGCAGTGATACCACATTGCAGATGAGAACCACACGCATGGTGTTTGTTCGTTGCCTTAGCATCAGACTGCCCTGGGTGCTAAGAGGACTTGGATTTCTGTTCCTTCTGGCCACAGCCCTCATCTCTCAGTCCCATTCACATTTATTCCCTTCCCCACTCTTTCCCCAGCCTAAAGATGAGATCCGAATCCCCAGAATGGAGAGGTGGGGAAGAGACCTCTGTGGCAGAGTCACTAAAACACACAGCATTTACTGATGCCGTCCGTCCCTCCTGAGTCGCCACTGATGCGGGGGCAGGTTGGTTAGTGATTTCTCTGAGAAATGAGGGTTCCCAAGAGTGGGATGCTTCCTGCCTGGCCTATTGAAGGTGAAGCTGTAGCTGGAAATGAGGGCCCCTGGTTTTTTGGGTTTTGCTTGGTCCTGTGTGCATTTGTATTCTGTTAACATGCACGTGACGGGCCGCTGTTCTGTGTCTGTGCTGTGCCGGGCCCGTGGGGTGCAACCGCCAGTTCTGGCCCTCGCCAAGCTCACAGTCCACTGGGAGGGACAGACGTTAATAAAATCATCTCATAAGTGAGTGGATAGTTTTAATAATTATGATTTATTCTTTTGATTTTTTCTGGCACTGTGATTAGTGTCATAAAGAGGTGTGGGAATTTTATGAGGGTGTACCTGCCACCTGGCAACTTTGTCAGGGGAGATAGATGGGGGAGGTCAAATGACTTTGCTGAGAAAGCGATGAGTGAGTCTGAGCTGAACCCTAAAGGTATAAATAGATGAAACTGAATGGAGTGGAGAGAGTTGCAGGCAGGAAGGACAGCATATGCAAAGGCCCTGAGTCAGAAGGGAGTGTAACCTATTTAACAGAAGGCAACCAAGGACCAGGGAATGGGATGGGAGGAGGGCATGTAAAGGTTAAGCAAGGGCAGCGAGGATAGGAATCCATTGGCGGCAACAGCCCGCTGCTCCTGGAGATTTTCATAGCTGCTTTTTTTGGAAGAGGGAGAGAGAGAATTGACTCAAGGTGTTTCGGGGGGTAAGTTTTTGCGTGTCCTGAGGTAACTCATGTCCCAAGTAGGTGACAGTTATTTGCACCTGTTGAAGTTGAGATCTGGAGGCTTTATGGCCTCTTCATCTAGTGCCTTAAGGAGATTGAGGGAGTGTAATAAGATCACCCTATCTAATCTGGTTACAGAGCAAGAGGTCATCAATATATTGAACAAGGGTGTGGCCTAAGCCTTAACAACTTGGGAGGCGGAGCCCTGGCTGGGTAATTGAGTTGGTTAGAGCATGGTCCCGATACACCAAGGTTGCAGGCTCCATCCCTCATCAGGGCACAAGCAAGACTAAGCCAATGAGTGCATAAATACGTGGAACAACAAATGGATGTCTTTCTCCCCCTTCCTCTGTAAAATCAATAAGTAAGAAATTGAAAAGAACTTGGGAGATATTGAGGGAGACTAGCAACATCCCTAAGGTATGAGAGACTGTTGTCTCCCTCTAAACATAACTGCCAAGAGAAATTACAAGTCAGGATACAAAGGGATAGAAAAGGAAGTTGAGGAGAGGCAGTCTCTAAACCAGACAACATCACCAGGAATTGCTGTGAGCGTGGATTAGAAACTAGAGGGTGGAAAGGAATCCCTGAAGACTTCATTGGTAGATTTGATTTTCTTCTGAGTCAATTGCCCTGTACTTCAAAGAAAGGAAAGCTCAAATAACAATCTCCCTACACCCAGTGTCCTTAGAGGGCTCTTTAAAAAAAATAAAAAAGATTGATTGGCTTCAAACTTCCCTTTGATAACAAGTAAGATTGGAGTATTGCATGCTGAGGAAGAAAAGGTCAGAACACCCTGCTCTTTAAGGGGGTCTGTTACAGATTTGATTCCTTATTAAAGAGAGAGAAGACAAATGAGAATAAGGAACAAGCCCTGGCTCAGTGGATTGAGAGCCAGCCTGCGAACCAAAGCGTCGCCAGTTTGATTCCCAGTCAGGTACATGCCTGGGTTGCGGGCCAGGTCCCCAGGAGGGTGTGCATTAAGAGGTACCCACACATTGATACTTCTCTCCCTGTCTCTCTTCCTCTCTGTCTAAAAATAAATAAATAAAATCATTTTTAAAATAGCAAAAAAAAAACCCCAAAAAACAAAACGAGAATTGGGCTATGGATAAAAAATGGTTTATTCCTTTTCTAGACACTGCCTATGAGTTCTGCACTTAGTAATAATGCAACCCCATTTGCACAGGAACCCCAGAGACTAATCAGAACATGTTTTAAAATTGGGTGCTGTTCAGATGAATTTAAATCAAGAAGGCTCTTCATTAAGGAAAGTAGGAAGTTTGAGGTTTGATCTCAGGTCAGGGCCATTAAAAATACTTTTTAAAAATTGCATTATGGTGACATTAAATTTTCACACCAAATCTCTACCTAAGAGGTTTGCTGGTGAGGAATCCAAAACTAGGAAGGCACAGTGGGTGTAAAGAGGCAATAAAACAGGTTTCCCAGAGATTCCCGACAGCTTGAATGGAAAGAGAGGTGATAGATAGAGATCAGTCCTCTGAGCCTGTGCTAGAAAAAGTTGCGCCAGTGCCCGTGAAGAATTTGACTTCCTGGTCCTCTGAGTTAAGGGGAGGGAGCTGGAGTGTGACTGAGGATACCTGGCTAAGTCTTCAACGGGGAAATGCCCCATAGAAGGTGGGAAAAGGAAACTTTGTAATGCAGCTGGTTAGAGCATCATCCCTATAGCCAAGGTGGTAGTTTCGATTCCCTGGTCAGGGCACATAGAAGAATCAGCCAGTGAATGTGTCAATAGTGGAACAGCAAATCAATGTTTGTCTCTCCCTAAAGTCAATCATTTTTTTTTTAAGTATTTCATTTATTTTTTAGAGAGGGGAAGGGAAGGAGAAAGAGAGGGAGAGAAACATCAGTGTGTGGTTGCATCTCGTGCACCCGCTGCTGGGGACCTGGCCTGCAACCCAGGCATGTGCCCTGCATTGGGAATCGAACCAGCGACCCTTTGGTTTGCAGGCTGGCGCTCGGTCCTCTGAGCCACACCAGCTAGGGCTCATTTTTTTTTATTTTTTATTTTTTAACACCGCTTTGAGGATACTGGGGTATAGAGAGATTATTATTTGAGCTTCCCTTTCTTTGAAGTGCAGGGCCGTTGTTTGCCCAACATCTGGCATTTGACAGCCTCTCCACTTGACCTGAGACAAACAGGTAAGGCTCTGCTCTGCAGGTGGCTTGGCAAGAAAAGTGGGTGGGCCTAGAATCATCTGTGTTTCTAAAGACTCAACTTGCAAAGTGGGGACTGCTGATTTTCATTCTTTTTTCCACCTGTTTTCGGCTAGCTATTTTTTTGAAGCATTGAGAAGCCGTTTCTGTGATAACAATGAGAGACTGTCCAGCCCAGCTGACCGCATTGTTTTGGATTTGTCTCTATCCAGGAGCTTTGTAGCTGTCATGTAAGAAACACCCAAACCTGTAGAGAATTTTTCTGAGATTATTGAAGCCCAACTGAAGACAACTGCTGGGAAATCGCAACAGATTGAGAAAATGCTCCAAAGCACGGCAGTTTTGTAGCTTCTTTTATAGGTTACAATCCAAGGAGGAATCATAAGGAGAGTTACATGAAATTCGATGGTGAAAGAGTAGACAGACCAGAGAGAGCGAAGCAGGAGACCTCTGGGAAGGGATAAAAAGTAAAGTGGAGACACACCCTTCTTTTGCACTGGTGGACACAGGGCAGTTAACAAGCACATTTGCAGGACACAGAGATGGGGTCTGGAGAACGCCATACCCTGAAGGACGCTATGGTCCCGGCTCTGGTGGTCCCTGAGGGGACCAGAAAAGGAGAGCACTCTGGTATTTCAAAGGTGTGTTATCCTCCATGAAAAAAGACAACAGAGCCCTGGCTGGAGTGGCTCAGTGGGTTGAGCACCAGCCTGCGAACCGAAGGTCGCTGATTCGATTTCCAGGCAGGGCACAGGCCTGGATTGCAGGCCAGGTCCCTGGTTGGGGGTGTGTAAGACGCAACCAATTGATATTTCTCTTGCACATCGGTGTTTCTCTCCCTCCCTTCCCCTCTGCCTAATAATAAATGAGTGAAATCTTAAATAAAAACGACCACAGACGGGCTCCCTAAGGCCAAGATGACTACAGGTCTAGGACGTGAGTGCGCACCCTGACCCACTTTTAGGGATCTGTACATTCAGACCGGCCTGTGTGGTTGACTTCAGGTCTCTGAGTGTGCAAGGCCTCCATGCAGGCCTCCCGTGGGCTCGTCAGGGTGAGTGTGCAGCTCTTGCTCTTCCACGCTGCCAAAGCTAGGACCGGAGCGATTTCTGTGTTCTGGGGCTGCTGGGTTTGATGCAGTGTGTCTGAAAAAAGCCTGTCTAACATGTTCCCCAACGCACGTTAGGATGCTCACCTTCTTTCCAAGTGACCTTAGGCCAGATCCCCCTTGGAGGAAAGGCCTCTAGGGTCACTCCTTTTAAGCCTTGAATATGGGCCTCCACATGTGTCATTTCCTGGTCATTTTCAGGAGGGACTGCGGGTTGGGGGGGCAGGTGCTCTGGCCACCACTTTCCGCAGTGGGGAACCTTCTCTAGGAAGCCAGCATGTAACTACAGTATAACCATGGGTAGGAAGAACACTCCTTAAAAGCCAGTGACGATCCCCATGAGCAGAGTTAGAAATGGCCCTTAAGCTTTCTAACTCCTCTCTAAGTTTGGTAGGAGCTTTTGAAAGTGGGAGTAAAAGGGGTCTGCAGTTTAAAGATCAGCCCAGCAGACATGACCTCTTGGCAGTGGGGTCCAGGATACGTTCCCAAAGCCCATTGCGTGGGAAGCCTGAGCTGATGGGTTTTTATTACAGAACCCCAGGAAGTGGATGGGCCTTCGAGACTCCCTATCAGTATTTACATAAGTAGCAGGTGCCCCAGCAGGCCTCCAGATCAGGCCAAGGTGATTTCTGGGAATTCTTGCAGGGAAAGGGAAGCCAACTCTGGTTTCCTGGGGGAAAACAGAGGAATTTCAGGTATTAAAGGAATTTGCTAAGGAGGTGAGGCCAGACTGTGGGGAGGGGCTTAAGGCGGGGGGGGGGGGCCCAGTGATAAAAAAAGACCCTTGTCAGGGACAGGGAGATGGGGGCGAGGCAGCTGTGAGGATCCAGAATGGGTCGCCCCAGGATGTGCCTCTATGGTACACAGATTGTTTTGAGCTAAAGGCACATTTCAGCCCCAGGCTCAAAAGAGACTTCTGCCTCCCACGTTAACTACCTAGAAGAATTTGAACTAGACTTGAATTAGAGGACCTGCTTATAAGAGAGTATCAGAGATAACTTCTTTTGACCTTCTATTTATTAAAGATCTGTTCTGTCCTGGCAGGGTGGCTCAGTTGATTGGAGAGTCACCCCAAACACCAAAAGGTTGCAGGTTCAATCCCTGGTCAGGGCACATACCTAGGTCGCACATATAATCATCAGTCAGGGCGTGTCTGGGAGGCAACTGATTAATGTCTCTCTCAAATCAATAAAAAACATATCCTTGTATGAGGATTAATAATAAATAAGTAGCCCTGGCTGGTGTGACTCA